GAAACAGTCTAAACATTACCTGTTAATTGGAAGGAGCAGTCGTAATATACATCAGCTTTTCAAGATGTTTCTCCACCACCAGCATCTTTTCAATTTTATATAGATTTCATGTTATAAATTGAATTAAACCAGCTAGATTTCATCCATGATGACCTCACATTGATTTGGCATGAGGAATGCTAAGAAATCATGGAATCAAAGTTTAAAGGAAAGAGATGCTGAACAGAGTATCAACAGCGTACTGGTGATAGTGCAGCATCTTCTAATGGCCTCATTAACACATTATTAATTATTTTCATTACAGTAGCACCTAAGTGTCCCAATCAAAATTGGAGTCCTATTATTCTAGGCACTGTGTGGGCACATAGAAAGACACACACCTTGTCCCAAAAAGCTTACAATCTAAACGGGCAATGCAGACAAACAGATGTACAAAGAGATGAACCAACTTGCCCAGGATTACATGCTAGGTCAGCGACAGAGCTGAGGATAGAACCCAAGCCTCCCACTTCTAGTGTAGTTCCCAAGCCACTATATCATGCTGCCTTATTGTTTTGAATCTTTGAAATTTGACATTAAGGTATTGGTACAGATATTTTTTAACATAACCATCCTAAAATGTAACTTTTCTCCCACTCCTTCCTAGCCATTATTTCATTTGTTGAGCATTGGCAGATTGAAAGGTATGCAAGGGTATTTCAGTGGGACTCCTTTTGCCTAAGGCAGTGATACAATGTTTCCTTTTTCCCCATTTTACCTGTGATAGCCTGCAAGTCAATTTTTGCAACAACTATTGGTAAATTTTATTGCAATTTACAAAAGGCAAGCATCTTAAATCATGTCTCTTGCATAAGTTACAATATTCACTAATTCTCCTATCAGGAAAATGCTGCTCAAGTTGAGGTCCATGTGGGCAACACAAAAGAGGTGCGTATATCACTAACATAGGGGTGTGGTTTGACAGAAAAGAAATTTGCCTAATGCAGTAATCATTTTACAGTACTGTCCAAGAGTACATATTGCCTTTCCAAAAAGTATTGTTCCCAAAAGCGGACTTAATTTATGTTATAATACTGCACTTGACTGTCTCAACTTTTTTTCTAAAATTTTATTTCTTCTAGGGCTAAAATTACTCTTGTTTTCTTTTCTTTTTTTAAGACTTATCTCCTAGTATCTCATCTATTAACTTTGTTACGTACAGGACAGTTTACATTGTATTGTAAACAACTTCTTGGGAATTATGCATTTTTAAATCACTTTTATTCAAGATTTAGCAGTAGCTAAGTGATTATAATTAAAATTTTTCAAACACATTTTTAAAAACTAAGTTCAGTATCAAAAATTAAAAAGGTTTTTTTTAAAAAGGATAACCTGATCATTGTCACTCAATCTTCTTCCTTTTTTTAGAGATGCTTTATAATGCAGTTATTTTTCACTGTTATAGTGCCTTATCTTCAAGGACTTCAAAGGATTTTATAAAAATTAATGATTTAAGACTCGCCACCTGTAAAGTAGGCAGTCATTGTCATCAGTTTTACAGATAGGAAAACTGGGATACAGAGAGTAAATGACTTGCTCAGGTCCCTAAGGGAGTCTGTGACACAGTTGGTACTAAAACTCAAATCTCCCATGTACCAGTTCTGTGCTTTGGCCATTTCTATCTCTGGTCTTTGATTCCCAACTGATACGCAGTGGAACTCAAAATAAGCTCCCAAGTGAACTACTGGTCTTGCTCCGTTACTATGGAAGAAGAAACCTGTTTTCCCCCATGACTATATTTGAGCTCAGTAGTAAAATTATGTCAGAATCCTCCTATATATAGTTAGCAGGACACATCATACAATTTAAAAACTCTAAAGAGTAATCTCAGAACTCCTAGACTTGAATAAGGCTTTAACACTAAATCACAGAGATGTGCAATATTACTACCGATTTTTATTTGAACCACGTTAATTACTCAGCTTTCTTTCCTCTCTCTCACTCTTGTTGCTAAAAACAGAAATCTTAAATTCATCTATTTTTATTTAACACATAGGAAAGCTCATTATTTACAATATGAGCATATGAGAAGCAACAGCAAAAAGGTTTAACAATAAAATGTAGGTTTCAAGTATAGATACCTTAAAATTTCTTTGCTTCCTCATATTTTTTTACCCTTTATTCCTAGAAAAATTAAGTGTTTCTGACACATTTTTATAAAATATAGGGCCAGTAGACTCATCTACAAAGTTTTAAAAAACTTCAGTGAAAGCAATTGTTTTTAAACAATCATTCCCAGGTAATGTTTGAAACTAAGAACCTGAATGTGAAATTCACTCCTATGCAAAAGGCTTGCACAAGGCCTATGATTCATTTATTCAGACTGAAATTATGCATACATTTTGTGCTGATATCCTACACAGAGAGGAATTTCACCCATTGGAATCAACTTCATTGCTAAGGAAAATGCAAAAATAAGCAGAGCATAAATAATGAAATGTGAGCATTTAAAAGAATTATATTATTTAGTAATTGGTGGTGTTTTAAAAAACATATGTAAAGAAATGTATTTATTACAGTATTTTTTAATTGTCAATGTCTCCAAAAAAAATTGGAACACTTTACACTGGAATGTACATAAATGATCCACTGTTCCATAAAATGACTTTAAAATATAGTAATAGTGAACCACAGTTACAGAGCTTTTAATATTGTATCTATATACAGTTATAAGATTCAATGATTGTCACAGTTTGTAACGCTGAAACCTAAAATGTCTGTAGAGCCAGTGTGAAGTGATGAAAACAGCTATAAGCTATATTTTTTTGTTCAGAATATCACCAGATTCAGTTATTGTTAGGTTTTGCAGAATGTTCCCATCCAATTTTTTTAAGTTCTCAGCCATTTTGACTTTTATGAATTACACCCCTGCTACAGCAAGGCATGTATTTATGCCATGCCAAGAGTCCTAGATCTCTGTGATATCAGAGATAACTCAACCAATCATCACCCTTACTCTACAGCTAATTTTCATGCAACAGTTTCATTGGTTGTTTGAGAGAGACTGAACAGATGTTGAGTTACTTGGCCTAACTGCCACAGTTCTTCAAAACCAAGCATGCAACAACACAACCAGCATACACAATAACCGCATACACACATAGCTTCGCATTTCCCACTAGCACAGATCAACAGAAATTTCCCAGCACAGTACAAGCCACACACAAATCAACACAGCCACCCACACAACGACAGAACCAGCACACACAATAACCCCCGACATCACTCTGAAGCCTACAATGTCTTTCAGTCAATGTGAAGCAATGGAAACAGCTGCAGGCATTGCCGAGAGCTTATTTTGTTTAGAATATCACCACATTCGGTTGTCACTGGGATTCTCAGTTTGTTACCCTCCAAATTTTTAATTTCTCCGCCATTTTTTGCTTTTTTACAAAGATGACTGTACAAATTTCCCCCGTGTGATTGCTTGAGCTTTCAGCTATTAGTAATGTAAAGAACTGTACTCCTTAGCAGAAAGCAAATGATATTTGGCTTCATTATCCCCGATAGCATTCTCTCTAGTTTGGCTTCTTTGAGTTCTAGTTTGGCTTCTTTGAGTTGTTGCTGTGGTGGCTGTTGCCTGAGAAGCCCTGGAGACTGCTGTTTTATCCAAGTGGGTTAGCAGCCTGAATGGCTTTCAGATGATTCATATATACTTAGCATAAAGGCAGCTGGAAAAACTTTTCATAGAGAAGAGAAGAACTGTATTTTTGAACGTAAATCCAACATCTATCCCAATTTAGTTAGATTTTCCTAAGATGAAGAATGAGCTGTTTTCTAGCTGAGTAACCGAGATCTCCAGTTCATTTGTAATTTAAGGAAATCTTTGATTACATACAATTTGTTTCATGTTTTCCCATGAAATGCATATAAAATGAGAATTATCAAAATTAACTATGAAAATATGAGAGTCTGCCTTGATCACAGTCTGAGCACAAGACTACACAATAAGTATGGCAAAATAGCTTTTTAGTTTTCTCATTTCCATAATCAAGTAAGGTTTTTAGAGCTTCAGGAAGCACTTCAGTGAATTATTCCTTGGCCTTCAGCTGATATGTGGCTGTTTGTTGAAATTCAAGTCAAATAAAAATGATTAACGAAAATCAAAAGCAGTAGGGTTTTGCCTGCACTTTGTTTTCCCTGTCCTACTTTTTGTAATTGTTTAGGCTTCTCTTTTTTTTTCCATCTTATGTTCCTGTTTCTTTCCACTGCCAAAATCAGACTGTTTTTCTCTTTCCATCTGCTGTTTATAATATACATAACCATATCAAACTGTGTTTCTGTGGTACTCTTTGTGTAGGATCAGCAGGATTAGATTTTTATCAGCAAATTTCAATATATGTCAATTTCACCATACACATACATATCAATGAAAAAAGATTTCCATCAATACTAATCAAAATTTACTGATAGGCAAAGTAAGGGCTTGTCTACATGGCCCACTGGATCGACAGGCAGTGATCAATCCAGCGGGGGTCGATTTATTGCATCTAGTCTAGATGCGATAAATCGACCGCCAAGCGCTCTTCCGTCGACTCCGGTACTCCACCGGAGCGAGAAGCACAGGCGGAGTCGACGGGACAGCATCAGCCGTCGACTTACCGCAGTGAAGACATGCAGTAAGTAGATCTAAGTATGTTGACTTCAGCTACGTTATTCACTGAGCTGAAGTTGCATAACTTAGATCGATTCCCCTCCCCTCCACCCTCTAGTGTGAATCAGGCCTTAGAAAAATGCTGCTTGAGATCTCATTAGTGTTTGATTTAAGGCTATTTATTTTGTATATTTTGAGCTGTGATGTTGACAGGTTGTGTTTTAACTGTTATAAAGCTTTAACTTTTTGAATCTCAGTGTCTACTGTCATTAAACAATTTATTGTCTGACCCCCACATTGTGTGACTCTGCATAATTTCCCACAACTGTGAAAATGTAAATTGATAAAAATAAAAAAAAATACTCACAATGCTGATAATGAAGATAGAGGAAGGCAACAATAAGACAGATTCAGTGCACCTAAGAATATTACTCTGAAATATAAAGCACAAACAAATCACTTAGAAAAACTGAGCCTCAATTTTTCAGTACTTGATAGTGTAGGAGAATGATTCTAAATCACTAGAATTTACAACTTCCAAGTCTGGGTAAAAGACACCATGACATAAAACTAATAGTCATGTAAACTCCTTTCATTTTGACAACAGTATCTCCCATCTCTTCATTTTTAAGCCCCAACTCTTCAACAATCATTTTGTCCACAATGAAATAACCCCATCATCTTACTCATTACCAGACGCTGGAATCCATCACCTTAAGTGAAATCCTGCCCCCATTGAAGTCATTGAAAGTTTTGCCATTTACTGGGGGCCAGGATTTCACCCCGGTCTTTCCATTTCAGAATCAGTACAAAAGCTCTATCCTAGACTTCATATGTCCTCCATAAAATAGAGGTGCAGGGGAAATGATCCAGTTCGTCACACTCATCAAATATTCATCTCTCCTCTTCCTCCTCTCCTCACCACCTCTCATTGTATCTTGTCTTTCTAATTAGTACATGCTCAATCATTTCACATTTTTATTGCACTCCTCTTCATTCATACCATATCACATCTGCATAGGCTACCTGCAACCTCCATAATTTACTTGTATTTAGAAGAATAAGCTGCCTTTGTTTTGGAGGTGTTTCAATTATATTTTCATATGAATGTTACTATATAAAAATAAATTATATTGTAAGGCTTGCAACCTAGTTGCAATTTCTGATATTTATTATTTTGTACTTTAACAGTTATATATAATCTTCTTGTAATGATCAGATCCAACTTGATACAGTATGGCTCTATGCCCAGTAGTACACAGCTAATTTATATAGCAATATACTTCACTTCTAATCATCCAGTCTTGAAGCTTTTGTAATAATATGATAGCAGTGATTATATCTATATCTTCTGGTGTGTTGGAATGTCATGGTAACTCTGACTTTCAACTAGCTACATAAGATATTTTAGTAGATAAATTATATTTGAACATATTTTTTGGTTCTAATAATCTAAAGAATACACAAAGAAGATCTTAAAAAATCTTAGAGGTGACCTTTAAAAATTGGGCTTGTGCCATTTTCAGCTTATTTATGATGTATAAAGGAAGCTTAAAAGAATGTTTTAAAACATCATTTCTGCATTTTTTTTAACCTTAGAAATGTTGGGAAAGTCAGGTTTGGTCTTCTCTATTATTGCTGAAGGACCTCTGAGAGGTTTGGGGAATATTTATTTTGACTTCTGCACCTTAATTGAAGAGGCAAGGGTATTGAACCTTTAACCAAGACTTCCTGTAACTTCACTTGCTAATTAACATTTTGGATAAAGATGTTAACACATACAAACAGTTTTAAACAGTCCCATTAAGATTCCTGTCTCTCTTTAGTTACTCATTGTTTACTCTCTTGGCTCTTTTGATGTTACCATTTCACTAGGTCTCCAAGTATCAAAGAATATTCCATGCTAGATTGAACCTGAATTTGCAGTGTAAATAAACAAGCAGAATTTAAAAACCACCACTTTTCAGGTCTTCCTTATACATAATTAAGAAAAGAGGGCAAAAGCTCAGTTTTGAGGCCACCTTCAGTGTATCTATATTGTTTGGAATTTCCCACCTCAGATTAATATAGTACAATGGCTTTATTACTGTCTGGGAGACCCTATGTTTCTTAACCAAATGGACTATGGTTCTTAAACCAGGGATGAAACCTGACCCCACTGAAGTCAAAGGGAGCTTTGCTATTGACTTCAGTCGGACCAGGATTTAACTTCAAAGTTTTTTTCATTCTTCCATGCAGTGGACTGACCCATGTTGAGAAGCTTTGACTGCTAAATTTTAATTTGGTGGCTTAGTTTTAGTTAGAAAGGTACTACAACTCTTTTTTGTCAGAGAGACATGCTTATGGCTCAGCAGATTTATTAGTGGTGTCACTTAAAAGCCTACTAATATAACTAGTGATAAATAAATAAGGTTACCACATTTTCTTCAGTTTTATCATTTACTTCCCTAAACTTACTGCTAGTTCCTTGAATTGTGCAAATACTGAAGATATTTAGAGCTACCAAAGTAATCCCTTTTTCTGATGTCCCCTGTTCATGTATATTTCCTTAATCATAACATTGTTGTTAAATTAGGTTTTCTTTAACACAGGTAAAGCTTCCTGCTATAAACCCCAAATACCCAAACAGAATACCACCCTCTACTGCAAATAAGGAATTCCACGGGGGAAATAGGCTTTATTTTCCACCTATGTAAGTAGCACACACATTGTATTAACTAAGGCCCTGATTCTGAAAACATTTTAACTTTACTCACTTATATAAATGTTTGTGGGATCAGGGCTTATATCTGTAATGGGCCTGAGCGACCTTGACTCTCGGGCTACCACATGTACTATCTGAAATATTAAAATGGTTTTATAAGTAACTTAAGTTATGTTATTTAATTTTTAGGATATACCATTATATATAACTACAAAATTGAAAAAGTAAGCACACACAAGTCAGTACATTCAAAACTTTTAGGTTCCTACAGTGATGTTTATTGTGCACATCCAGTACTTTCTTGTTGTTGTTGTTTTTTTTAAACAGAAGACTTTTTTTAAAAATAGTGATTGTTTTTGGTTCTCAGTGCAATCCAGTGAATGGACCATAATGTCCATTATCACTATTTGTATTAAAGTAGTGTGCAAAGAATCCAGTTAAGATTGAGACTGTTGTTTGGTCTGGGTTCTGTATAGACACATTAAGTTACCATCGTGGCTTGATGAGTTTACCATGTAATTTAAGACAAGACACAAGTGGTGTAACAAACTATAGGAGGGAGAACCAGGGTAACTGATATGAACATGCGATTACATCAATTAGCTCTGCATATAATTAGATGGTTTCAAGTTGTTAAAAGAATACTTATTTTAATTATTATAAAATACAAAGGAATAAATGTATAGTCCCAATATGTTTTATAATCTATGCTTAATAATTTGAACAAAAACATTATGTATATATAATGGCAAAAATGGAAATAGAAAATGCCACATTTATGTAACTTTGGGTATTTCTACACAGCATTTTAGAATGAGTTGCCTTTCTGGATTGGCAGACATGGTAATGGGACTCAGGCTAGCCCTCTAAAAGCAATTGTCTAGACAGCACTTTGAAGTTGCAGCTCAGACGTAGGATTGAGAGCTTAAACTGCAAATTAAAAGCGCTGTCTGTACAGCAATTTTTAGAGTGCTAGTATGAGCCTTGCTAGCCCAAGCCTGTCAACCCAGGCTGGGAGGCTCACACCAAAATGTGTGTAGCTATACCCTTAGAGTTAACATTGCTTAGGAATCTAGTTTTTGAACTTGTTGACTTTTATTTGCTTTACTTCTCCATTTCTGACATGAATTACCCTTTTCATCTCACTTTACCATTCTGCTATAGGGCCAAATCTTGCAGCCCTCAATCACACAAATCTCCCATTAATTGAGTTTTGTTGAATGAGGACTACAAAATTTTGTCTCTTAATTATGATAAAAACTATGGTTAATTATGATTGATTATGCAAACCTTATGGCATTATTTTATAAGAAGCATGTTAAATTCATATTATGCTAATTAAACCATGGGAAAATAAATAATATAAATGACATTTCTGTTTTTGTTATTTACTTGCATATAAAAGAACTTGGTATAAGATGCCACTCTCCTTTCTGTAAAATAAAATGGTTGCTGCCAATTCTTTCTTATGTTTTATTTCTGAACTCTTGTCTGATATATATTTTATTTTTATTTATTTTTGTATAGGCCTGGTCAGAAAAACAATGAACCAGTAAACTTCAGCAAACTGATTAGCAATGGTTACAGGGACGATTGGATTCAGCAGCGTAATGACTGGGAGAAAAAGATTCAGCAAACCTCAAAAAATAACGAGCAGCCTGAAGGTGAAGTGTATTGTGACTATTTATTTTTTCTTTAATTTAGCAGTTATCTAAAGTTAATAACCAAGATTAGCTCTATCAACTCACACATCTTACTTTTGAATATAATTACATTTACTTTTTTATTTTACTCTAACTATGTCAATATGGGCCCAATTTAAAAAATACATGTGACTTTAATTGTGGAGGCAAAGTTGTCAGTGGCTTTGTATAACTTTTAAGTTGTGAAAGTATGCTTTGGTTTTGTCTTCTGGCTAAATTCTGCTTGCTTTATTTACCTAAGAGATTGAAGAGACAGAACTACTCACATGCTTAAAGTTAAACAAATGTTTAAATACTCTTCTGGATCCTGGCTTAGGTACATAGAACTTGGTTCTTAGTCCTTTTCTGAAATCTCCATCCCAAACACAGCAAAAACCAACGGTATGACAGGTAGATCAATCAGTGTCATTATACAAAAACTAATTCCTGTCTGTTTTTGAGTATGGAGGTTTTGAAGAAACACTGTTAGTGCAAAAAAATCCGACAACAGCAAAAGAAAAACAGCTATGCAGAGCTCATGCTTTAGAATCTCACTTTGTCATGCACTGTTCCATAAAACTACAAATATATAGCATTATTATTTGTGTATTTTAGTATTATAAAGTGAGCAACATCTACATGCAACAATTGACTTCAATAAATCTTTTATTAATAATTACATGGTAATCTTAAAGCTACCTATTCACTGACACAACAATTATTAATTGACACTAAATACAAAAATATAGTTCTGGACCCCCAGACTTTTAAAGTTCATTTCCATTTTATGTAACCTTCTCCCCCTGTGCAATTGCTGTTTCTTATAGTAAATTTGAATACTTAAATGCATTTATTTCAAAAGTGTCCTCATTTGTCCCTCTAACTTTTTATATTGTTATAGTTAATTTAGAAACATTTGTGGTTTTTAGGTAACATATACCTTTTAAAATGCTTGTGAACAGGGAAATTCCAAAAGCCAAATCTAAAAATGTGTGCAAATGTTCTTGATTTTGAATAAAGAATGGTTCTTTATAGTATGCTTGTATG